GTTTTTTTACTGAAAAAAAGAATAAGTTAAAGCAAAAAAACAACAATATTGAATCCACTGCAGATATTCAAAATATAGATCATAACCTGGGCAAGTCAGGGAGGAAACACTATTGTAACTCTGACATTTCTATGGTTATGGTTAAAGGTGTGTGTGTGTGTAGTCTTAAAAAGTATACTACTTAAAAACTAGTAGTCAGAATAATTGCACTTCAGTATACTTTCCAGCTTTATATTAGAAATAGGTTTTATTTGGGTTTTTTTGCAGTTTTTAAAATATAACCTTTTTGTAATAAATAATTTCTGTGTTTGCAGATTGCTTTTGATGTAGATTTTTAAAATGTTAAAAATAGAGAAAAATTTTAAGCTTTTTATGGGAAAAATAAAAGGAAGGAGTATTATGAATGTTCACTAACTTGTGTTACATATAAAGTAAATAAGGGAATAGGATAAAAAGGAAACAAATAAATACAATTTGTCAGACAATTATCATTGTTCTTTTTCCTAGGTACTTCCTTTGTTTGCAGCTTCGTCAGGATATTGCTTCTGGACGTCTACCATGCTCTTTTGTGACCCATGCTCTGCTTGGTTCATATACTTTACAAGCTGAACTAGGTGACTTTGATCCTGAGGAGCATGATAGTGGTTACATACAGGAATTCCAATTTGCACCTAACCAGACGAAAGAGTTGGAGGATAAAGTAGTGGAATTACACAAGACACACAGGTGCGTCATGTTCCAAGTATTTGTATGCATTTTTGTTTCCTTGTGGCAGATAATGCTCATGCAATTAAAAACAAAATCTATAACCCTAGGCTGTAGTCAGGCATTATGTAATATATCCTTGCCATTCTCTCATAAATAGGTAAATTAATCAAGAGATTGTTATTAATAGCATACAAATCAATAAAGAGAGAAAGGAAAAATAATGAAAATAATAAACTTCAATCATTCACTGAAGAAGTAAAAACAAGGGGAGAGAAGGAAATGAGCTTTAGAATAAAGTTTTGGGAGAAAGATCCCATAATATTTTTCATAGGACAAGTCTGTAATTAAGAACCAGTGGTAACAAAGTTTCAATTTGCAGGATACAACTAAGCGTAACAGTAAAACATGGAAAAAAGTTCATAGGAACACAGGAACTTTAAAATGCAAGATATTTGTCAGCTTCCATATGGTTATGAAATTATTTCTGAGTACCATTTAGAAATTTCAAAACAAAGATGACTAAAAACTAGGGATCCCCCCCCCTTCTTGATTACATCAAAGAAACTCAACAGTACAAAAAATGTTCAATAATGCAGGGAATACTGTTTGAGACAAGAATCTTTATTACTTCATTAAGATTTTCATAAATCCTAATGAAATAGCTCTGGCTAGAGCTCTGGCTATTCTTCATCTTGAGAGATAATACAGTTTGAATCCCTCAAAAGCAAGTTCGGTTCTTTTTTTTTTTTTTTTTTTTGCTTAAATAGTAGATGTTCGAAAAACACCAGAGCATTTCCCTTTATTGTTCGAGCTTTTAAAATTATCAAAATGTTGGTAACCAACTATCAGATATTGATTTAACACTTTTTTCTGGCATATCTGTTTCTACTCTGGTATGTTTTCACAAATGCAAAGACTGGAAGTGATTATATTTCATACTGGACTCCTTCAGCATGAATAATAAATATTTGAGATGTTTAAAATGGATGGGATTCAAAACAATGCTACCCCTTGCAAAAACTGGCCATATCTAGAAACAAAATACTGGCTTAAATAAACCATGGTCTGAGTAGCAAGGGCTATGTTTTTATATACTAATAAGAATACAACATAACATAATATTGATTTTTTAATATTTCTTTTCTAAATATTTGCAGAGGTTTGACTCCAGCACAAGCAGATTCCCAATTCATAGAAAATGCCAAGCGGCTATCCATGTATGGAGTGGATTTACATCATGCTAAGGTATTAGCCAACATTTTTATAGAAAATGAAATTTTATTTAGAAAATGTAATAGATTCATGTACTTAAAATACTTATTGTACAATATGCATGATATTGTTGTTTGTGAGGAAAAGAAGAGAGTGTTGTTGCTGGCAGCAAATCAGTCTGAAGGGAGATTTGATTAGAATACGGGAAGTAGATATGTGATTAGAATACGCGAAGTAGAATTCCTGGCAGATGTGTGAATCAGTCTAAATCCATCCTGTATCAGAGATGTATTCCTTGATATATTCTATTTCTCCTGCTTGAAAGACATTTGGATATTTGGAGAACAATTTGAAATCCAGAGTATATATTTTTAAATTTTTTATTGCATGTATGTCATTTCATGTTCGTTTAGGCTTGTTTTAACCTAGATCTGTATCTTCTGAATGCCATTCTCTTGCCGCATTCACTCCGCCAACATACACAAATGCAGAATTGCTGCTTCTTCCATGATCATACTATTGGGGGGAAATTACCTTTCCCAGTGCTGCTGCTTCTGTAGTAGATGGTAGATGTGAAAAGAGAAGTGATAGTATTTGCACATAATACCATTTCTAGTCCCAGATTCTGTAAGTTCTATCCAGAACTTATATTAGCCTGTTGCCATTTGAAAAGAAAAAAGAAAAAAAAATCTGAGCACTTGCCCTAAAGGAATATTTGTGAAGTTGCCACTGCTATTCACCCAGTACATTTAAAGGACCATTGTTAACTGTATTAATGAAAGACTATCATGCTGACAGTTTCACAACTAGGAATTTTTCCTTATTGTTATCAACATATTGCTGCAGTTAGTACAATGGAGGAAATGGGGAAGTAGTGAACGTTCCAAAATGATCTGAAAAAGTAGGTGGGATGAATGAAAATTCCACAGAGAAATATTGTACACAACTTTTAGCATATAGCAGTGTGTGTGTGTTTGCTTTTGCCCTTGAAATTGCATCTATAAAATGCTTCATTGTAAAAGATTTATTGTAAAAAATGGGTTCTCCCATGCTTTCGTTTTAAAGCAGGATAGGTTTCCTCTACTAATAGGGAGACTACTAGCCAAATATCAAGTATGACTTGAAATATTAAGTACAATACTGCATACTACAAAATTGAATAGATTAAACTATATGCAGATTATTAATCATTAAAACTTTTTAAAAATGTGTTTTGTTTCCATTCATATGATGGATTTCTATCTTCTGTGTACTATTTTGATATTCAGTATATCCAACTTTATATAACAAGGCAATGACTTATAATTTTATATTTCCTTCATTTTCAACTGCCTATCTGTCTACTTCTGAAGTATTTTCTTAGATTCAGTATCGTTGCTCAGCTAAATTTCCATGACTTTTAATATAATCATCTGTATTCCTGCTGCCTTATTGTCTGTCTGCCTATGTGTATTCCTACTGTAATCAGGTTGAAAATGCTTTCATTCTTAATTTGATAGGATTCTGAAGGTGTGGACATCATGTTGGGGGTTTGTGCCAATGGGCTACTCATTTACAAAGACAGACTTCGAATAAATCGTTTTGCATGGCCCAAAATTTTGAAGATTTCTTATAAACGCAGTAATTTCTATATTAAAATCAGACCAACTGAAGTAAGTACTTGATATCATGATTTACATGCCAGAAATTGTATGAACACATGTCAGGTAGTTCAGTAGTTCATAGTGTGATATGTATCTGCCTGGTAAAGTGTTTTTTTTTTAAAAAAAAAATCATACTAGATCTGTTGAAGACCCATAGTGCAAAGCAGCCATAGCTACCGAAAGGCTTCTTTCAGCTGGTGCATGGCCTTGGGATGCTCTCTATATTGAATATGTCTAAAAACATATTCTCCAACACTTTGATATTTCTACAGTATTTTGTTTTCTTGTTGCTTCATTTTCAGAATCATACACCAGTTTGAATCCATAAGTAATGAACAGTAAGACATGTTTTTAAAGCATTTGGTGTTCACTAAAGGGTTCGGTCTTATCCCCCCTACTATTCAACATCTACATGAAACCACTGGGAGAGATCATCCGCAGGCACGGGATAAGATACCATCAATA